CCCCCCATCCCCCGCGCCCCCAGCGCCAGAGTGGGACCCCCGCGCCGTGGCGTTCTGCCCCGAGCCCACCTGCGTCCCCAACGCCCCAGCGGGAGACCCGCCTACTGCCCCCTCCGCCACGAACGCTTTATTCCGCGTCGCACTCCCCCCTCTCCGCGTCCCCAGCGCCAGAGTGGGACCACCGCGCCGTGGCTCTCTGTCCCGAGCCCACCCGCGTCCTCAGCGCCCCAGCGGGAACCCCGCACACTGCCCCCTCCGCCACGAACGCTTCATTCCGCGTCGCGACGCACACCACTTCCCCCACCTCCGTCCCCGCGTCCCCAGCGCCCCAGTGGCAGCTCTGCCCCGTCCCCTCCGCCCCGACAATCTTATTCCGCGCCGCGACGCACACGACCTCCCCCCCTCCCCTCTCCGTCCCCAGCGCCCCAGTTGGACCCCCACCCCGTGGCCCTCTGTCCCAAGCCCCGCCCAGAGCCCCCTCCGCCCCGACCATTTTATTCCGCGTCGCGACGAACACCACCTCCCCCCCCTTCCTCTCCGCGCCCCAAGCGCCCCAGTGGGACCTCCGCCCCTGCCCCCTCCGCTCCGAGCACTTTATTCCGCGTCGCGACGCACACACCACCTCCCCCCCCTCCCCTCCTGGGATTTGGGCCCTGTTGCGGAGCCCCGAGGGGCGATGTCTTGCCCCCTCTTCCCCCCTCCTCCTCCACCTCCTCCTCCCCCTTCCTTGTTGTGCAAGAGCCATAGCACACGTGCCGCTTGTTTGTTTGTCCGTGGGCCCATTTAAAAGGAGGGCGTCGCGGCGACCCCTTGGCAGACGCCAGTTCGTCTGGGCGTGCTAGCCGGCGCGGGTCCACGGGCGTGCGCGCGCGCGGCGCAAGCGCTCACCGAACCCCGCCCATGTTGGGTGTTGCGCCCTGAGTGCGAAGAGTGCCTGCGCTGCTGCGCTGGAGGCCGCGGCGTCGGGCTAGGTACCTTTTCGGTAAGCGCACCCTGCGGCGCACCCTGCGGTGTAAACAACAGCGACCTGCTGGCGCCTTTCCTGTGCGCCAGCCGCGTCAAGGCCCTGCTGTGCCTTTTGGATGATTAGCTATGTGAAGCTGATGGGCACGCAGCGCGGCCGGCTGCGGGCTCGCGCGTCCTGGCCCCCGCCCGATCCTGGAGCCCGCGAGGTCGCAGGCCTGGTCCGTGAGCGCGTCCTCCCTCCCTTGACTGGGAGGCTACTGGCGGCCGTCGCGGCGAGGGGGGCGCAGCTGACCTTGTCACCGCCCGGAGGGTCACGCGAGGAGGGGCTGAGTTCCAGGTGGCGCTCGGGACGGCGGGCAGCTCCGCGGACCACCGGGCGGGGCGTCGCGGTGCGCGCTGCAGCGATGCCTGGCTGGCGGATCTGCCCGCGTGCCCGCGACGCGTGCGGCCGCGCTGATGCAGCGCTGCTGCGGCACCGAGCTGCTGGCGCACCTCGCCCAGGCCCACGCAGTGCTCCGGGGCGGCCCGCGGACCACGGGCGCGCCGGGGGCCCGCTCGCGCAGCCGCAGCGCGCGCTGCCGCAGACTGCCGCTGCGCCCTCGAGGCAGGGCCCCCGGGCCAGGATCACGGCCCACCAAACCACCCCAACCCAACCCGAAGGCCCCGATTTGCCTTCCATTTCCAGTGTGGGGGGGCTCGGGGAACATTAAACATGAAAGTGCGTCTGAAGCCCGCACCACCCCCTTGGCGGCGGGGGAACCCGATGAGAGATCACTACCCTGCCAAACAAGGCGAGCAAGCAGCAGAAGAAGGGAGAAGGACAGGTAGGTGGAGGAGGAGGAGGAGGAGGAAGAGGAGGAGGAGGAGGAGGAGGAGGAGGAGGAGGAGGAGGAGGAGGAGGAGGAAGAGGAGGAGTAGAAGGAGGAGGAGGGGGAGGAGGAGGAGGAGGAGGAGGAGGAGGGGGTCTTCGAGTTGGGTTGGGGTGGTCTGGTAGGTAGTCACAGGAGCCGCCCGCGCCAGCAGCGTGGGCTGGCTCCCGAGGACCAGCCCGGGCGCGGCGGGAGGTGCGAGCCGCACGGGCCTGCTGGGCAGTCCGCCTGCTGCTGCTGCTGCCACTGTCAAGCAGTGGCGAAGCGTTCTGGCTCGCCTATAGGCCCACCAAAGAATGTTCAAATAAGCTTTTGTGTTCTGCGCGAAATGTTCTCAGAACATTTCTGGCTGGGACGGGATTGTCTTGTTTTAACACATCGGGTTCACGTTCTAAGAACATTGTTTTTGTTCTTAGAACATGTTTGGGTTCTAAGAGCATTTCGTGGTAGGCCTATAGAAATGCCGGGTCGTTCGGTCCCTGCTCAACACTTCCCAGCGCCAGTGGCTGGGAGGGGCGGCGCCCCCCCCCCCGCCTAGGTTCAGTATCGTTTAAAGGATCCCCATCCCCATCCCCATCCACATCTCGAGCCCCACCGTCTCACCACCTCGGTTGGGGACATGCCCCTCGAAACCCGAAGAGAGCGGCCCATATCCCCATCCAGGGGGGTTAATCGGCCACTGGGGCCCAGCCCCCGCTGGTGGGGATGGGGATCGGTTAAACGATGCTCAAGTGGCTGGGAGGGGCGGCGCCCCCCCCTGCCTAGGTGGACCCTGCCTTCTTTTCCTTCGGCCGCGTTGCTCCTCCCTCCTCCTCCTGCATGGTGGCACAATTCGCTCCAACGGAACCCCTGTTCCTGCCTTTGTTGCCAGCGCAGTCACCCTCTGCCTAGCCGCCGACGCTAAACATGTATTGACCTCGCCCAGCCATTTGGCAGCACGATGCGGAAGAAACTCCGGCCAGGCCGGGCCGAAGACGCCACATCGCCTGGCGGAGAGACACCACCAGCGAGCGAGAGAGAGAGAGAGAGAGCGAAGCTGGCATCCTGCGGATAGGCTCGTGGGGCTGATGATAGAGGAGGTGGAGGAGTGAAAGGGGAGGGGTCGAGGCGGAGCCAGAGGAGGAGATGGAGGAAACAAGGGCGCCCTCGAGGGCGCGAAGTTATTCGCGCTTCGCGCTTCTCGGTTCGGCTCCGACTGCTCCTCACCCTTCTCTTCTCCTCTGGGAGGCGGCGCGAGAACGCGAAGTCATTCGCGCTTCGCGCTTCGCGCAGCGCGAAGGGCGAAGTTGGGAGCACTTGAGGAAAGGAGTAGGGTGGGGATGATGGGACCTTCTTGCCGGCGCTGCCTCTCCTCTATGTATGATTCTTCCTCCCTGTCGCACCCCCAGGCGTGCCGTTGGGACGGGCCCGGCATTTCGCTCAACACCTTCTCACCATTTTATGAGGCTGAAGCTTGAGCATTGTAACAGCTTCGCGGACGAAAGAGCGGGGTCGTTTTCAAGATGGGGTATCGCCTTCGTGCCGCGCAGATTCGTTGAAGCAGTGCGCAGCTGCTTCCAGGGTGGAGGGGGGTCGTTTTTCCAAACTCGGGCTCTCGCGTTGGCGCAGCGCACGCTCGTCTTAAACTTTTGCAGCAGCTACAAACATGCTGCGGGGGCGTTTTCAAAATGAGACTCTCGCCTGAGCGCCGCGCACCATTCGTCTTACACCGTTCGCAGCAGCTTCAAGGATGGAGAGCGGTTTCTTTTCAAAACGGGGCTCTTGCCTCAGCGCCGCGCGCATTCTTCTCAAAAGCTTGCGACACATACGAGGACAGAGGACGGCGCTTTTTAAATTGACTGTTGCATGAGATTCGTTAAACGAAGTACCGTTCACTTCACATATGCACCAGCTGCATGGCTGCTCTTTTGCGAAAAGGAGGGGGATCTCTTTGGACACTTCACAAGGGAGGAAAATCCACCCGGGCCGGACAAGTGGCGTTTACTAAACGGCCTTGGGCGTTTACTAAACAGCCTTGCCCTGCTGGATTGCCTCAGTGGGAGCGTTTAGTAAAGGGCTCCGCGTGTTGGGGTGGTTATTATGGGGGTCGGTCCTTTTCCAAAAGGGGGATCTCGTTGGACACGTCCTCTTTTTCTGACCAGAGCTCTCGCCGTGCGGCGCTGGCCTTTCAAGAGGGCGCTTTTTTTGTCGTGAGCAGGAGGGCTTGCGGGGACTTATCGTCAGGGAGCTTGGGACAGGAGGGTGTGCTTCAGCATCGTTGATGCATCTCGGGTTTACTCTGGTCCACCTGCTGCTGCTGCTGCTGCTGCTGCTCACGGCGGACTTGGTCGTAGACCTGAAGCCGTCCCCAGCCCTGCCTCGAGAAGTAAGTAGGGAGGCAGGGCTGGTTTGTAAAGGTGGCGCCACAACTGAAAGGGGGGGCTGCTCCACGTCCTCCTCCTCCTCCTCCTCCTCCTCGTCCTCGTTCCTCTGTCTCTGGCTGCTGTGGAGGGTCGAGGCTCGAGGCTCGAGGCTCGAGGCTTTTTTCTGTTGTTTGGCCTCCAGAGGCCGGTGGAGGCCTCCAGAGAACTGCGGGCGTAGGCTGAAGTCGGGCCTGTCCCTCGACAGGGGGAATATTCATAAAGAGTTAAGAAATAGTCCAGGGACGATTTTTGGACTATTTTTGACTATTTGATTTTTGTTTGTTATTTGTTAATAGTATTTTTAAGTTTTATCCTAGAATTCGCCTGTAGGGGGACATGCCCGACCTAAGGGTATCCCAGGGATGGTTGGCGGGTGCCTGCTCTTGCGCCTCTCACAGCGGGCGCCAGGCGTCCGCGCTGCTGAGGGCGACGGGCTGGCGTCCGCTGCGGCAGGAGATTATGAGTCGTCGCCCTTCCGCTTTCCTGGCTCCCCCCCCTCCCCGGCTGCACCACCCGTTGCGCCGATGGTGCGTCTTCAGCGCCGTCGTGTCTCGAGGATCTCCCCCCGTCCTGCTGACCTCCGGCGCAGGCGCGGCGAGCATCGGGGGCTCACCTCGTCCCCTCGGCACTCTCTCCTCCACGAAATTCGGGCTGGAGAAGCACACGATCAAATGGCGCCTCCCGTGAGCAGGGATCAGTGCTGCACCGTGCCGTGCACTTCAAATCGCGCGTACGGCCTCTACTCGCACACGCTTTCCGTGGCACGCCATTCAAGTGTCTTCCACCTCTGATTTACAGCACGTCTCCCGTGTTGCCTGCCGCATCCGCTCCTGCATGCCAGCTTGCCTAGCACGTTCCAGGAACGCCTGAAGCTCTACACGGGGCCGAATCATCTTCACTACGACAAGGACCCGGTCGACTTCCCCATGCACAAGATTAAGGATCCGCGCCGCAAATTCGGAGGGGTGATGACGGATGAGGGTGTGGAGCGAAAAGGGTCGCAATTTCAGAAGGCGGGCCGCGCCAATGATTTGGATAACGAGGCGGCTCACGACAGCGAGACGAGGACGCGTGAGAGAGCCTGGTCCACGCCGGCGTCCTCATCTTACCCTCCCTTCCCTCTTTCCTTCCTGTTTTCCCCCTCCTCCCCCGATGGGAGTTGGAACCTGCTCTGGGCTCCCCTGTGGCCTGCGCGGATTTTTCCATTCAGCTCGAGTGTGCGAGGGTCCCATGAACCCTGCAACTAGGACCTTTGGTGAGGCTTCCCATGGGGCCACGGCCCCCGTGAGGGGCGTGCCGAGATGGCCCGAGGCCGCCCTGCGAGCCCTGCCGGTGGGGCCTTCGGTGGAGCTCCCCATGGGGCCACGCTCCTCGTGCGGGGGTGTGCCGAAATAGCCCGAGGCCGCCATACGTCAGGAGGAGAAAAAACACAGGCACGATTAATCGTCGATCCCCGGAGAATATGGGAAAATATGGGCAGTGGGGGGGAAGACCGAAACTCAGAAAATACGGGAAAATGTGGGGAATCTTTTTATTTCTGTGTATTGATTTGTGCTCGCCCCCCCCCCTCCCCAGTATCGTACCTTTTCGCTTTCGCTCCAAACTCCAATCGTCAATCTCCTCCTCTTCATCCTCCTCCTTCTCCTCCTGGCCCGTCTGATGTGCTGGAGCGGGAACCTGAAAAGGCTCCCTGGCCAGTGGCGGGAGGGGAAACCAGCAAGAGGAGCAGGAAGGCGGAGGAGGAGGAGGAGGAGAGAATTGAATCTGGCGCTGAACCCTTCGGGGCTCGTGCCACTGGCGCTGTCCCCCTCGTCGTGGTCAGAGGCTTCTTTGATGTATGTGATGGCCTCTTGGGATGCCTCCCAGCAGTATTGAGCGATAGATTGAGCCATCGACCGAACAGGGAGACTTAAAAGTTTTCTTTTTCGGTCCTGGACATGGAAACTGAACAGTTTCTATGTTCGGTACGGGGGGAGGGAAACTGAAACGTTTTCCTGCCCCGTCGGCAGAGGGAAACTGAAAAGTTCCCCTCTGCCATTCCAGGCTCACTGGAGAAGGAAACTGAACAAATTCCTTGTTCAGTTACGGGAGCGGGAAACTGAAAAGTTTCTCGCTCCCGCTCTCGCTTGCAAATCGCTGAGGAAGGAAACTGAACAGTTTTATTGTTCGGCTACGGGAGCGGGAAACTGAAAAGTTTCTCTGTACCGTCTCCAAATCACTGGAGAAGGAAACTGAGAAGTTTCTTTGTTCAGTTACGGGAGAGGGAAACTGAACAGTTTCTCTGCCCCGTCTTCAAATCGCTGGAGAAGGAAACTTACAAAAATCCTTGCTCATTTATGGGAGAGGGAAACTGACAAGTTTATCTGCCCCGTCTGAAACAAGACGGAGAGGGATTCTTCAGTCAGCCCACTCACACAGAAAACCTCGTCATTGGTAATAAGGTGCCACTGACGCATTTTTTTTGAGGCCGACTCCCGCGAAGGCTCACAGGTATCGTTTTGGAGGCCGACTCCCGCGAAGGCTCACAGGTATCGTCTTGGAACCCTTCGGGGCTCGCGCGTCAGGGCTTATTGATTTATGCATGTTTTGTATCATTGAAGCATGATGGCATCTTGGATCCCAGAGCATGTGTTTTCCAGCTTTTCCAGCTTTTCCCAGAGACTACCCCATTGAAAAAACAATGTGCTTTCCAGTTTTTCCAGCTTTTCAAGCTTTTCCCAGAGACTACACCATTGAACAACTCTATGTTTTCCAGCTTTTCCAGCTTTTCCAGCTCTTCCCAGAGACTACGCCGTGGAACAACCATGTGTTTTCCAGCTTTTCCAGCTTTTCCAGTTTTTTTCCCAGAGACTATCCATTGAACGGACAATGTGTTTTCCAGTTTTTTCCAGCTTCTCCAGCTTTTCCAGCTTTTCCCAGAGACTACACCATGAACGCACCATATGTTTTCCAGCTTTTCCAGCTTTTCCAGCTCTTCCCAGAGACTACCCACTGGAAACACCATGTGTTGTCCAGCTGCTCCAGCTTTTACAACTTTTCCCAGAGACTACCCCATGGAAACACCATGTGTGTTTCCAGCTTTTCCAGCTTTTCCAGCTTTTCCCAGATAATACACGATGAAAAACACATTTTTCCAGCTTCTCCAGCTTTTCCCAGAGACTACCCCATGGAAAAAAACATGTATTTTCCAGCTTTTCCAGCTTTTCCAGTTTTTCCCAGAGACTACCCCACTGAAACACCATGTGTTTTCCAGCTTTTCCAGCTTTTCCAGTTTTCTTCCGAGAGGCTTCAGAATGGACAAGCTGTGTGTTTTCCAGCTTTTCCAGCTTTTCCAGCTTTTCCCAGATATTACACCATTGAAAGCCTCGGGAAAAGCTGGAAAGCTGGAAAACACAAGTTTTTCAATGGGGTACTCTCTGGGAAAAGCTGGAAAAGCTGGAACACACATTGTTTTTCCATTGTATAATCTTCAGGAAAGCTGTAAAAGCTGGGAAGACTGGAAAACATGTTGTTCCCCACATGTTTCGTGGGGTTCTGGTTTTCTTCCCTGCCGCGGCGAACCCGCGTCTCACCTCACCTCACACCTCATCTCCTCTCTCCTCCTTCCTCTCCTCACCCGCGTTCAACGTGTGCACAGCAAGTACATGAGACACGCGTCTACATACAGCCGCGCGCATGCACACACTCGCACACAACACACATGCACCCACACCATACAACGCTAGTGCGCGCCTGGCGTGATCACTGCAGCGTCCATTGAGGCGTGTGCGCGACATAGTGGGCACCCACATGAGACACGTCCCGATATAGCCGCACACGCATCATACACATACACATAACATGCCATATACAAGACGTGCGTGTAGGATTCGCAGTGGATGGCAGGAGGCTCTATGCAGGCCATGGCGCAGGGCCTAGCAGGCGTGGCACTTTCTCGACACACACAGGGGGTGCGCACCAATGTCGCAGGGGCAATGGCACTTTCTCGACACCGCAGGGGGTGCGCAGGGGGTGGTCTCTCACCGCGGTCCCTATACGCGCCAATGTCGCAGGGCCTAGCAGGCGTGGCACTTTCTCGACACCACAGGGGGTGCGCAGGGGGTGGTCTCTCACCGCGGTCCCTATACGCGCCAATGTCGCAGGGCCTAGCAGGCGTGGCACTTTCTCGACACCACAGGGGGTGCGCAGGGGGTGGTCTCTCACCGCGGGCTCTATACGCGCCAATGTCGCAGGGCCTAGCAGGCGTGGCACTTTCTCGACACCACAGGGGGTGCGCAGGGGGTGGTCTCTCACCGCGGTCCCTATACGCGACATGTCGCAGGGCCTAGCAGGCGTGGCACTTTCTCGACACCACAGGGGGTGCGCAGGGGGTGGTCTCTCACCGCGGCCCTATACGCGCCAATGTCGCAGGGCCTAGCAGGCGTGGCACTTTCTCGACACCACAGGGGGTGCGCAGGGGGTGGTCTCTCACCGCGGTCCCTATACGCGCCAATGTCGCAGGGCTAGCAGGCGTGGCACTTTCTCGACACCCAGGGGGTGCGCAGGGGGTGGTCTCTCACCGCGGCTCTATACGCGCCAATGTCGCAGGGCCTAGCAGGCGTGGCACTTTCTCGACACCAGAGGGGGTGCGCAGGGGGTGGTCTCTCACCGCGGTCCCCATACGCGCCAATGTCGGTGCCTGGGGTGCACAGGGGGTGGTCTCTCACCGCGGTCCCTATACGCGCCAATGTCGCAGGGCCTAGCAGGCGTGGCACATTCTCGACACCAGAGGGGGTGCGCAGGGGGTGGTCTCTCACCGCGGTCCCTATACGCGCCAATGTCGCAGGGCCTAGCAGGCGTGGCACTTTCTCGACACAGCAGGGGGTGCGCAGGGGGTGGTCTCTCACCGCGGTCCCTATACGCGCCAATGTCGCAGGGCCTAGCAGGCGTGGCACTTCCTCGACACCAGAGGGGGTGCGCAGGGGGTGGTCTCTCACCGCGGTCCCTATACGCGCCAATGTCGCAGGGTCTAGCAGGCGTGGCACTTTCTCGACACCGCAGGGGGTGCGCAAGGGGGTGGTCTCTCACGCGGCCCCTATACGCGCCAATGTCGCAGGGCCTAGCAGGCGTGGCGCTTTCTCGACACCAGAGGGGGTGCGCACGGGGGTGGTCTCTCACCGCGGTCTCTATACGCGCCAATGTCGCAGGGCCTAGCAGGCGTGGCACTTTCTCGACTCCAGAGGGGGTGCGCAGGGGGTGGTCTCTCACCGCGGTCTCTATACGCGCTAATGTCGCAGGGCCTAGCAGGCGTGGCACTTTCTCGACACCGGAGGGGGTGCGCAGGGGGTGGTCTCTCACCGCGGTCCCCATACGCGCCAATGTCGCAGGGCCTAGCAGGCGTGGCACTTCCTCGACACCGGAGGGCGTGCGCAGGGAGTGGTCTCTCACCGCGGTGAAAAGAAAACACATAAGATTTAAATTAAGTATGTGGGGTTCCTCGGTAGCGTAATTCCCTACCTAGGCTCTGCCTAGAGGGTTCTTACTCTCTTAGCTTAAAGGGGCCGGGCAGTGCAAAGCGCCCCGGGCGGTTCCCCCAGTCCCCGCCCCGCGGTTCCCCCAGTCCCCTGGGAGCTTTAGCTTTAGCTTTTAGCTTTAGCCTTAGCTTTAGCTTTAGCTTTAGCTTTAGCTTAGCTTTAGCTTAGCTTTAGCTTAGCTTCAGCTTAGCTTTAGCTCAACTTTAGCTTAGCTTTAGTTTAGCTTTAGCTTAGCTTTAGCTTAGCTTTAACTTTAGCTTAGCTTCAGCTTAGCTTCAACTTAGCTTTAGCTTAGCTTCAGCTTAGCTTTAGCTAGCTTTAGCTTAGCTTTATTTTAGCGTTGGCTTAGCTTTAGCTTAGCTTCAGCTTAGCGTCAGCTTAGCGTTAGCTTAACTTTAGCTTAGCTTTAGCTTAGCTTTAGCTTTAGC